GCAGATGTGCAGGTGCCTGGCCTGCTGTGTTCCTCCAGCTCCACACTGTTATCCTAAAGCTTCTGGTTGCTTCCATCTTGTGCACCCCAGACTGAGGAATGAAATACATTTTATCTCTGATATGCAGCTTCAGAATGAAGCACTTCGGGACACAGGACTAAGAACCACATTGGGATACTGAGGGAGAGCTGAACATTACTGATTCTGACACAGAAATAGGGTTGCCCACTGGAATCGAAGGTATCCTTCAAGTTTTGTTCATAGAATTCTTTCTTAGAATGTAGGTGTCAGTGGCTAGACCAGCATTTGTTGCCCATCATTCATTGGCTTGAATGAATGGCTTGTTTGACCATTTCAAAAGGCAGTTAAGAGAAGCCGATGATTGTAGGTTTGGAGTTACATGTAGGCCAGTCAAAATAAGGATGGCAGATTTCCTTCACTAATGGATATTAGTGACGAGATGGATTTTTACAATGATCAATGATAGTTTCATGGTCATCTGTACTGACACTAGTTCTTTTTTTTCACATGTACAATTCCAGATTGATGACAGTAAAGACTCACACCTACCACCCCCACCCTCCAACTGTTAGTCAGTGAACGTATCCATCTTGTGCCTACACCAACTGAAAACACTCATCACCCAACTGGAGGATCTTTGACACTCAGCCAAACAGTGTTTTGTCTTTCCCAGATTTTGATTTTCATAGAATCCCTACAGTGTAGAAGCAGGCCATTCAGCCCACTGAGTCCACACCAACTCTCCAAAGAGCATCCCACTCAGACTCGCCCGCTTACCTTATTCCTGTAACCCTGCATTTTCCCATGGCTAATTCACCCAGCCTACACATCCCTGGAAACTACGAACATTTAGTATGGCCAATCCACCTAACCTGCATATCTTTGGACCGTGGGAAGAAACCAGAGACCTGGAGGAAACCCACACAGACACGGGGAGAATGACAGTGGCCCGAGGCTGGAATCGAACCCAGGTCCCTGGCGCTGTGAGGCAGCAGTGCTAACCACTGTGCCACCGTGCCAGCCCAAATTAGATAGTATGCTCCCTTTTCCCTTCAAAACTTGCTCTAGGAAGAACCTTGGCATCCATACTGTTATACAAGTCTGGCGCACTAGCAGATTGCACCAGTAGAACTATTTTGTATTTGGTTTTATTTTTAAAAATCAGTTAAAAATAAAGAAACTGACTAAGTTACATTTTCTCTTCCCCCACCCCCCCACCAAGCATCCTATGGTTTTTCCTGCAGTGTCCTGGAAATCGACCTTGCATTCCTGGACACTCAACGTGCAATGTGGACAGTTAAGAGAAACCGATGATTGTAGGTTTGGAGGTACATGTAACCCCACGCAGAATGGAAGGGGCACAAAGTGAGCGAGAGGCTGGCTTGGAGTGTGGGCCGTTTTAAGCTTCCACATAACTGGCGCTTACCCTCAAAGCAACTGAGAACATAAGAACTACGAGCAGGAGTAGGCCGTCTGGCCCTTCGAGCCTGCTCCGCCATTCAGTAAGATCATGGCTGATCTTTTCGTGGACTCAGATCCACTTACCCGCGTTCTCACTGTAACCCTTAATTCCTTTATTGTTCAAAAAAAATCTACCTTTTTTTTTTAAAAGCATTTACTGAAGTAGCGTCACCTTCTTCACTGGGCAAGGAATTCCATAGATTAACAACCCTCTGGGAGAAATTCCTTCTCAATCCTTCTCAACTGAGGAGTGGAAGTCGACCAAATGATCCTCAACGTTAAGGTCATTGTCCAGGGAAGGAACTGGACAATAAGAGAGAATGCAGGGGGTGGGTTGGGGTGTGGTGGTATTGAAGGAAGGATTTTCTGTTGAGTCCCGATGGAGCAGTCTTGCTCGTTCCAAACCCACAAGGGAATCTGTAAAAGTTTACAAGCTCTCATCTTGCTCATCAGATTAAATATCCCCCACCTCACTACAGCCAGGCCCTCATACCCACTCTCTCCCTTGAAATCCGAGAGCAACAGTAACAGTTGGCAGGAATGCGGTGTGAGCAGAGGACTATACTCTCTTCCTGTTGTAACCCTACTCTGCTCCCCAGTTTCATCAGCCAAAGGCATCCAAGAAACTCTTGCATTTATATAGCACCTCTCACATCACTAGATGTCCCAAAGTGCTTTACAGTGGAAGAATTACAGCAAAATTGGTTTCAAATGGCACCTTATCAACCAGCAAAAATTATATATCTCAAATACCACCAGTATTTATTTTACAAATAAAATATAACAATGATGTGTCTACCCCCTGCATTACATTTCCATTACTTACTGTTTTTGTAAGAGGTGTGTTGATGTTTTTACATCAATTTTTTTACGGATGTTGATGTCTAGAAGTTTTGTTTGGTCAGGGTTCATGGGGTCATATGCACCTCCCAATCATCCAGAACATTTGGCCAACCAGCTTGGTCCCATAGGTGCTGGTTAATAAAATATTTCCTGTATGTACTGAAGTCGAGTCTCTGTTATCATGTAGAAACATGGCAACCAATTCACATTCAACAGACTTCCACAAACAGCACCATGATGATGACCAGGTAATCTGGTTTTGTGATGTCGATCGAGGGATACACATTGGCCAGAACATCAGGGTTAACTCCCTTCAAAAACAAACTGCCTTTTACATCCATCAAAGCAGGCAGACTAAACATCAGTTTAACATAGAGTCATAGAGATATACAGCACAGAAACAGACCCTTCAGCCCAACTTGTCCATACTGACCAGATATTCTAAATTAATCTAGTCCCATTTGCCAGCATTGGGCTCATATCCTTCCATACCCTTCTTATTCATGTACCCATCCAGATGCCTTTTAAATATTGTAATTGTACCAGCCTTCTCCACTTCCTGTGGCAGCTCATTCTATACATGCACCACCCTCTGGGTGAAAATGTTACCCCTTAGGGTCCCTTTTAAATCTTTCCTCTCTCACCTTAAACCTATGCCCTCTAGATTTGGACTCCCCTACCCTGGGGAATAAGACCTTGACTATTCACCCTATCCATGTCCCTCATGGCTTTATAAACATCAAGGTCACCCCTCAGCCTCCGACACTCCAGGGAAAATAGCCCCAGCCTGTTCAGCCTCTTATTTGAAAGTCAGCACCTCAGACAGAGTAGCACTCCCTCAGCTCTGCACTGGAGTGCCAGCTAGATTTTTGTGGAGGGAAAATTGGAGATAAGGTCTCTCTCGTCTGCCCTAACAACACAGCAGAGCCCACCGATACTGGGTCAGTCTTGATATTCTCCACTTTGCACTCTAATCAGTCAAATCTGTCCCTGTTGGTTATCTCTCACAGACTAAGAGACAAATCTACTATTTACTTGCTCTGACCTAACATGGTATACCACACTGATGCTGTTGGGAGGGCTTTTTTGCCAAAATACTTTTCAATACATTCCCCAAATCTGATGTGCTGCATTCTAATCCCTTTTGTGTGACAAAGTTAAATATCTCAAAGTCAAAAGAGACAGAACTACCAACATACCCATTTCCTCCAGATTTTGGACCCATTTGGAGAGCTCTGGTTTGAGACCATCAATTGCGACCAGGACGGAGGTGAACTTGCGAATCTCCAGGTTCGAGTTCTTCTTTAGGACAACCCGAAGGAGGGTGTCGAGCTTTGAGGGGGCGTTGCTCTGCTTCTCCACCTCTTCCTGGTCATTCTCAGAGAGAAACCTCTTTAATTTCAAGCGGTACAGCAAGAATGAGACATCCTCAATGCCCTGGGTGATCAGCTCCTGCTCCGCGTACACTGCCCTCCACAGGCGACACTTTGAAGGGTCAAATACAATCTTATCTGGAGAAGGTCAAAGAGGAGATTGAAACAAGGTTGATGTTATGTAAACATATTCATAGAAATCACAGAATCCCTCAGTGGACAAAGTGGCCATTTGGCCCATTGAGTCTGCACTCGCCCTCCAAATCTACCCACCCGCCACCCCATCCCTGTAACCCCACGTGGGGTTCTTATCATGGTTAAGCCAACCTAACTGCACATTCCTCGATATTATGAGACAGATTTTAGCACGGCCAATCCACCTAGTATGCACACCTTTAGACCATGGGAGCAAACGAGAGCACCCAGAGGAAACTCATGCAGACACAGGGACAACATGCAGACTCCACACAGACAATCACCTGAGGGTAGAATCAAACCTGGGTCCATGGAGCTGTGAGGCAGCAGTGCTAACCACTGAGCCACCATGCCAGCCTATTCCTGTGACCCTGTCTCACACAGAATAATTCAGATCTCTTAACTGCTTGCATCTTGCACACTGATTTCCTGACAAACTGTTCTGTTTCACACAGGCAGTCACAAGTTTAAAAACAATTTCACGCTCAACATTATTAGGGTTAGATAGAGCAGACAGGGAGAAACGACTTACTCCAACAGCAGTGTTCATAAGCCAAGCTCATAGATTTATGATAGTGACCCCAAGCAATGGTGAGAACTTTTGGGTTTTTTTTTGCGATTAATTATGAAATTTGGAATGCATTGCCAGGAAGGGCGAGTAAAGTAGATTCAAGAGTAATTTTCAAAAGCGTCATGCATTCAAATAGAAACAAAAATTGCAGGATTACAGGGAGCAGCCGAGAAGGGGAACTGATTGAATGGCTTGTTCAAAAGCTCAATACCCACGCAATGGCCTGAATGGTCACCAATGGGCAGCATGGTGGCACAGTGGTTAGCACTGCTGCCTCACAGCGCCAGGGTCAATTCTAGTCTCGGGTGACTGTCTGTGTGGAGTTTGCACGTTCCCTCTGTGTCTGCGTGGATTTCCTCTGGGTGCTCCGATTTCCTCCCACAGTCCAAGGTGTGCAGGTTGGGTGGATTGGCCATGGGAAATACAGGGTTACAGGGACAGAGTGGGATGGAATGCTCTTCAGAGGGTTGTTGTGGACTCAATGGGCCGAGTAGCCTGCTTCCACACTGTAGGGATTCTATAATTCTTCTGTTGGTAGTGTGAAGTAGCCCAAAGCCCATTGGCTTTAGTTAAATGGCGCACAAAGCAAATCTGAAATATTCACTTTGCTCACTCTGAGGGATTAGTGACTGTTTGTGATTCAATGATGCGAGGTGAATAATTTAGATTATAATAAAGATGTCAATCCCTCCTAACAAAGGGGAAGTGTGAAAAGAAAATCAGAACCCAACTTTAAGTTCTATTCGTATTTGCAGAAAGTGGAATAATGGAGCGAACGTATAGAAATAATATTACAGAAAGGGAACACGAGCTTAATTTAAAAGCACATAGAAGAGAAGTAGCATTGCTTTTCTGTTTGCTGGTTCGAAGTTGTAGTTTAATATAAGGGTGAGGAATAAACTGAGGGGTGGATATAAATTCATTTACCTGTAGGTTTAGCTTCTGTGGGAGACATCCTCTTCGATCCATCTTTCTCTACATGTCTAAAGCAGAGAGATATATGAAGCTCTGGCAACTAATTGGAACAAAACGCCTTCATTTTATTTCTCATGACTTAGTTCTCCTTCACTTGATTTTTAGGCACTGACTCCCTCGGTGGGATAGGAATGGGCACGGCGCAGGAGAAGGCCATTCGGCACAGCATGCCTGCGCCAGCTGTTTGAACGAGCATCATTCCCTAGTGCCGGTCTCCTGCCTTCCCCCCGAAACCCCTACCCTGTCCAATCAAATAACCTTCCCATACCTGCCTGAATGCCTTGAGTGAACCCGCCTCCAAGTTTCAACGTGGTAATTCAGTCACCACTTCAGTCAAATGGTCAGTTTTGACGTGCTACCAGCCACTGCACCCAATCAGGATTGTATGGAGCATTTTGTGTCCCTGGTGGTGTCTCTGAGCCAGGTGCTGTAAGGTTCTGGTCCCACTCCTGGGCCTGACAGCACTTGAAGGTGCATTCAAAATGCAAACAAACAGGTCAAGCACTGATCTGCAACTCCTTCCACCACACACCATTGGACAGTAACAGTGGGAGAGATTCCTCGTCAGCCAGGGTGTGGAATGAAAGTGAGAGCCTCTACCATCACTATCCATAGTTCCTAACTACAACTGAGACTCTGAGTGAACTGTGATACATCAGCACCACCCGGGAGTTTATCTAACAGCAGCTTGCAGCAAGAACATAAGCCCCGGATCACAGAGGCTGACAGAGCTACCTACTCTTTTGAGCTTCCCAAAAGTCAGTCCCTATGAGGGATACGACGCCCAAGGCTCATCAGTGGATCTTCTGAATCATTGGCAGAAACGCAGAGCTTACATTGCCCTCCCCATCACCTACCCTGCTGTCTCAACCACAAGGTAACTCAGCTCAGTCACTGAGGCTGACATCTGGCTGTTTGCTGGGACGAGAGGGGCAAGTGAGGAAGGGGAGATAAGGGCTGTGGGGAGGGGAGGTGTGGGGGGGAGAAAAAGGGTCAGCAGTAATTTATTTATACATTTGGTAGGTTCCGCTACTCACGAGTGGCCATTAGGATCTGGAGGAGGCTCTTCACCCTTGAAAGAAAAATACAAAAGTGCACAGCTAATGACTTGACACAAACATCCTACAGTAAGAGGTCACAGGATAATTGTCAAGGTGAAAGGAGGGAGTTTGTTCATCCACAAAAATCCTGAAATCTACCCCCCTCCTGCAGATTGTTAAAACTATTCCAAGGCTTTTTCCTCTACCCACTCTCCAAAGCTCTCAAAAAGAATCGTCTAGTTGGAATCTGTGGCTTTTCCTGGTAATTTAACTCAAAGTGAAATTCTGAATTTGCCTGTTAAAGAACAGAAACCTGTGTAAGGTGTCCTCTCACAAGCTGAGTGAACCTGATGTCAGGGTGACATACATACCAGCAGCAGGAAAGGCTTAGCAACGCTCCCCACCCCCTGTCCTGCAGAGGTTTCTAGTCCGTTCCCTTTGGGGTTCATTGTACAATGGAGAGCAGCAAGACCCCAGCAGGAGAGCTCGATGATGCTGAAATGGATTGGAAACCTCAGGGCACCTCGAGGGAACGGATTCTGAAGAGAATGTTCCGGGACAATTAATAATGGGATGAGCAGACACTCTTGTTCTCAGAGGGTTGTTAGTCTATGGCAGTCTATTCCCCAGAGTGCAGTCATCGAGTCATACAGCATGGAAACAGGCCCTTCGGTCCAACTAGTCCACACCGACCATGTTCCCAAACTAAACTAGTCCCACCTGCCTGCATTTGACCCCTATCCCTCCAAACCTTTCCTATTCATGGACTTATCCAAAGGTCTTTTAAATGTTATTACTGTACCCACATCCACCATTTCCTCTGGCAGTACATTCCACACACGAACCACTCTGCGTATAAACGCTGCCCTTTTCAGGTCCTTTTTAACACTTTCTCCTCTCAACTTAAATACATACCCAGTAGTTTTGAACTCCCCTACCCGAGGCAAAAAAACCTTTACTACTGACCTTATCTATGCCCCTCATGATTGAAGGTTGGGCTGTTGGATATAATGAGTTGGCTAGAATTGAGATCGACAAGGGAAATTAGTGAACTGACTGACCTACCTCGAATTTTTCCGTACTTGTCTCATCCCTGCACATATCCCCTTCTTTGAGCCATGTGGCACCACCTTGACCTCTGCCAACTGAAGCCCTCCCCCACTGAGTTGCCCCTCAAAAAGCTACAGGCCTAAGCAGATAGAAATGGGTGTGAGATCCATCATGTAATTAATAAAATATCAACCCCACCAACCCCCATAAATCATCTCCAAATAGCACCTTTAATTATCCAGATAATTACACCGTTGCAGTCAATCTGCCTCACACCTTTGGCTGGAAAAATTCCCAGGCCCAGGAGCTACGTTTAGGATCTGTCCCAACACGATCCCTAACATTATACCAGCGGCACCCTCCCCACTACAGTTCCTGCCACACCAGCAGGGCAGAAATATTCTGCTCTGCCTTTTGAGGTTGAAATGTTAGATCCTTCATTAACTTGCTGTAACGAACTCTGAGGATCAGAGGGTCTACCTAGTCTTACCTTCAGTTCTTATGAAAGGTCATTAACCTGAATCATTAACTCTGCCTCTTGGACCTGCTGAGTACACCCAGCCTTTTAGATTCTCATTTCAGATTTCCAGCATCTGCAGGAATTTGCTCTTGCCTCAGCTGATTACACCTGACTGTACTTCTCCACCTTGGGGAGTGATGATGGAGGAGAAGGCAAAGATAAGGTCCCGATGATAGAAACCAGTAGCTAATGCGTATTTTTACCGGGTGCATCTTTTCAGCTTTGGGAGCTGGCCTCCTGCTTGGAATGCTTCTTTCAGACTCCTTTTCAAGAAGTTCATCTGGAACAAGACACAGAATCAAGGGCAAATGTACAACAACAAAAATGTGCATTCATACAGCACCTCTATAGGAATGGAAAGTCCCAAGGTGTAATCAGAAAGAGAGAGGAAAAAAAGAAGTGACAACAACCTAAAGACGCGTACTTTAAATGATCACTAGCCTGGTCCAAGAGACTTTGTTGAAGGAGTGGGGGTGGGAAGAGAAAGGATAAGGGAGAGAATGGCAGAGTTTCAGCAGCTGGAAGAACCACCACTAAATGATGGAGCAATGGAGACATCGGTTGTGCAAGATATCAGAATTGGAGGAGTTCCTGAGATCTGAGGGTGGCAAGGGAAGGGGATGGGGAACGAGGGGCTGCGGGAGGGACATAGAGGGTAGGGTATGGGGCTGGACAGATTAACAGAGTTAAAGATGAGCAAGATAATGGAGGGACTTGAATAAGGAGGGGAATTTTTAAAATCAACACATTTGGAGATAAGGAGCTAATGAGCACAGGAGCGACAGGTAAATGGGACACACAATGTGAGCCGGGGTACAAGTAAGACATGTTTGGATGAGCTCAAAATTATTTGGAGTGGGGGAGGGTGGATCCTGGAAGGTGAGAGGCTGAAAAACAAAAGGCACTGAAGGAGCCCCCTCTGGAGGTAACAAGGGCACTGAGGACAATTCAGACAGATCTCGGCCTGTATTCTGGTTTCTCCCCCTATACTTCACACTCCTTTTGCTGAATTTGTTTTATTCACTCATGGGACGTGGGGGTCACTGGCTGAGTCAGCACTTATTTCCTTTCCCTAACTCTCCTTGAAAAGATGGTGGTGAGCTGCCTTCTTAAACCACTGCAATTGATGTGCTGTAGGCAATTTCTGCACAGCAAGCTCCCACCAGAGCAATACGATAACTGGATAATCAGATATAAAGCAGTGGTTAAAGGATAAATATCAGCCAGGACACTGGGGATAACTCCAGGATAAAATAGCTGTAGAGGATATTTACACCCACCTTAAAACAGGGGTAGGGCCTCAGTTTAATATCTTGTCGAAAGGAGAGCATTTCTGACAGTGCTGCATTGGAAGAGCAAGCCTGGATTATCTCCAAGTGTCTAGAGTGAGTAAAACTTTCTGACTGAAAAGGTGAGAGCGTTAGCAATGGAGCCACACTTCTAGAAGGTGCTGCCTTCAGCTATCAAGGGCCGTCGTGGTTGAGGAGGAAAGCAGTTTCTGTCATTTGACAGCTAGCTGCAGCCCTCCCTGATGTCTCTGCTTCTGCCAAATTTATGAACTGTGGGTCTCATACAGTTCCAAGCAGTACGGAATCTAAATGGATTCACTGGGCAGTTTGAATAAAGGGACTTGCGCGTAGTGAGGTTTGAGAGTTAGGAGGGCTACAGGGAACAGCCACACACCCAGCAAGACAACTGGGAAATTTTTAACCGTACGTTTCCACAGCAACAACATGGGATATGAAAAGATGAGTGTGAAAAATCATGTGAGGAAAAGTAATGGGAAAATGTGAGAGGGGGATTGCACAAGTTAGAAAACAGAAAACGTAAGCTGGTAAAGGGATTACCCAAAGGGGCAAGTGTGACAGGTATTTTCTTCCTGACTCACCAAAAGTTTTGATATTTTTTTCCGTTAAGTCATCAATCAGGTTTTCCCAGACTGCCTGGAGAAAGAAAGAAGTCATTAAGTGGGATGATCTGTTTTTATTAGTCTACATCACTGGGCACCAAAACCCTCCATGAGATGAAAATTGTTCTTGCCATGGAAACAATTCAGTCCGCACAGAACCATCACATTCCCTCGGGTAGAAAAGGGTTTATTTAGCCCTTTTGTTTTTAAAAGGTTAGCACCATTATTTTAAATGGGAAGAGGAATGTCGAATCCACGTGTTAATTGTGTGTCACTGTGATGACCTAAAGTAATGTACAGTTCAATACCAGATTGCCCCTGAATGCTGGTTGAGGTAACACTGATCAATATCATGGGATGAGGAACAAAGCCTGTGCTTTCCGAGTAATGAGAGGGTGCAGTAAACTGCAATCCCATTGCTCACAATTGGGTAGGGGCCAGGCCTGACTTTATGGAGGAGGAAATATGAAAGAACTTCAGTCCAACCAAATCTAAACCTTACCTGAAAGCAAAGCATCTATTATTAGATCTGATTCCGGGATTGAGCTGCAATTGCTAATCAGTCCCGAGTGTGCCAATAGCTACATTAGCAACCAGCTCAAGATAATTACTCTAGCTTGTAATGTGTCTCATTTTCACTGGCTAGAAGTGAGGTACATCCAACAGTGAGGTCCTGCTCTCTACAAACAAAAGGAACATGTTCAATCTTGTATCTTTTCTGAATGAGCTTGGGGAGCCTATCGTTCTCTGTTGCTTTCTCTGTTGGCAACACTCTGGACCATTAGAGTCAACTTGCCGGCCAAAAGGTTTCTCTCCTGTAGTATAATTGTTGTGATCATTTGAAATTGGGCCTTCTTGCACTTGCAAAATAAAACCTTCAGCAACATATTTTCCTTCTCAGCAACATTACCTGGAATTGTTCTCCTTTAAACACTCGGGTCGCCTCCTCTCCTTCCAGAGATTCGATATAATCGTGGCTGTCGTCGGAATCCGACACCAGCTCTGTGATGGGGCTGCCCTGGTCACTCAAGATGGTCCCCTTTTTACTGAGTAAAACAAAACAGAGAGAAGAAGATAGGGGCAGGGCTGGATGACGACAGGATCAAATGAGACCACAGAAGCAGAAGTTAAACGTTCAGCCATTTAGGCCTACTCTAATTATCAACTGCCTGATCTCCCCCTGAACTTCATTTGCCTGCTTTTGCTTTCTACCCCGTCACTAACAAAAAGTTGTTGGTCTTGAAAGTTTCAGTGAACCCATCAGCCATTGTCTATTTGAACAGAAAACTCCGCAATCCTTCATATGAAACACTTGCTGATCACACGCATGAATTTTTGACAGCACCTCCCAAATCGCTTGCCACCCAGAAAAACAGTGGCAGCTGCTGGGAACACGTACTCTTCACGTTTAATTAAAAATAAACAGCCTAGCTCAAAATTCACTTTCAAGTCTTCTCCAAACCAACTAGAGCTGGACGACAACCCCCAACAGTCCGCGCTTGCAAATTAAAGGATGGTACCGTTCCTTCCTCAATCATTTAACTGATTTGAAACAAATAATTCACAACGGGAAATAACATGGCATTATAGAGTTGTGGAAATGTGAGTTCCTGAATTCAATTGCAGAGCAGAGAATCCTGACAGAAGCCTCGAGGATTAAGAGAAAGACTAAGAGTGGCTGGTAATGCAGCTGCAAATACTACCTGACTACCTGTGTCTTTATGGCTGTTAACGCTCAACAACAGCCTCCTACCTTCCATCATGTAACCTCAGCAACATTTCCTTCTCGTCTCCTCACATTGCTCAGAAGACAGACATGTGCCAGAACTGCGCCAGTCAGCACAAATGCAAAAATGACCGATTTTGAACAAACACGACAATTTAGATTGAAAGGGAAAGGTAGCTGTTTGACAACTCAACTCTGACTGACTGCAGTACTTGCATAACCCAAAACCAAATTATCTACTGTTAAATGTGATTGAGTGATTGGGGTGCACTTACTCAACAATCCAGAGTGTGCAAATGTCACACAAACAGTCAACTTCCATGGATGCTGCCTGGCCCACTGTGATCTCCAGCACTTGTTGTTTTGAATAAATTAGTCAAGCTTACAACGTGGCTCATCTATGCTTGTTAGAAGTGACATATGTCTTCAGCATTGCTCCTTGCTTGACTTGCCCGAGGGTTTGATGTGCCTGTAGTCTCCTGTTGATTTTTCCCTGGCAATGCCTTGGCCAGCCAATCAACCATGCAACCACAAAACAGTCATGGTACAGAAGGCGGCCATTCAGCCCACTTTGTCTTCACCAGCTTTCTGAGCATTTTGACAGTGCCAAACTCTTGCCTTTTTGCCAAAACACTGCACATGTTTTTACACAGAAACAATCAATGTAATGCCCTCTTGAATGCCTTCATGAATCTGCCTCCACCACAGTTCCAGACAGTGCATTGCAAACCCAGTCCACTTGTGTGAAAAAGTTTTCTCCCCATCTCAAATTCACTTCCTTTCCAAAACAATTTAAAACGGCACACTCCGGTTCTCGAGAAACACAGCGGGCCAGGCAGCATCAGAGGAGCAGGAAAGTTGACGTTTCGGGTCGGTTCCCAACCCAAAACATCAATTTTCCTGTTCCTCTGATGCTGCCTGGCCTGCTGTGTTCCTCCAGCTCCACGCTGTGTTATCTCTGACTCCAGCATCGGCAGTTCTTGCTATCTCTGCTCTGGTTCTCGATCCTTTTACAAGCAGGAATTCCCTGCCTGCTCTGTCCAGAGCTCTCATGATTTTGAAAACTTCTATCACATTTCCTCTCAGCCTTTGCCTCTCCAATCTATCCTCACAACTGGAGTTTCTCAAACATGGGACGATTCTCACTCAATCATTTCTGCGTGCTCTTTAACGCATTCACATCATTCCTAAACGGTGGTGCTCAGAACTGTACACAGTACTCCAGCGGAGGCCTAAGTAGTGTCTTATTCAAGTTCAACATAACCTTTCTGCTCTTCTACTCTGTCCATTTTGAAGAAGTCTACTATGTTGCATACTTCTTATCATCAGCTCTCTCTGCCTGTCCCGTCACTTTTAATGACTTATGCACGTATACATCAGGTCTCTCTGTTTCGGCACATCCTTTCAAATAATTTACTTCGTACTCTCTCTCCATGTTCTTTATATTAAAAAGTGTATTACCTCACACTTCTGCACATTTGCCTTCAATGCCACCAATCTGTCCACTATCCTAACTTGTCAATGTCCTTCTGAAGTTCCATACTGTTCTCACAGTTTGCAATTCTTCCAAGTTTTGTGGCATCTGTAAAATTTGAAATTGCCTTCTGCACACCAAGATCTATGTCCTTTTTATGTATCAGTACTTTACCCCCATGGTATTAATTGTGACACTTTGAAATTTGGCATTCTTGCATCTGTCCTATGAGTACAAGGCAAAAAACTTCAGCAATACATCTCTCTTTTTAGATTCTGCACTCCTTGTTTATTCTCTTTCTTGTGATGTTACTCTGGTTTTCCCTCAAGTTCCTCTATATAGGTTTACCTCACCTCACTGCATAGGATGTGTGTGTTGCTGGCTGGACAGCATTTATTGCCAATTCCTAGCTATCCTTGAGAAAGTTAACTGCTGCAGTCCATGTGCCATAAGCAGACTCAATGCTGTAACAGATGGAGCTTCAGGATTTTGACTCAGCAACACTGAAGAAATGGGAAAATACTTCCAAATATGGATAGTGAGTGACTTGGACAGGCACTTCCAGGTAGTGGTGGTCCCATGTATCTACTACCCTTCTCCTTCCATATAGAGGTGGGTTTGGAAGCTGCTCTCTAAATAACGTCTGGAAATTCCTGCTACTGAACTTTGGTGGTGGAGGGACAGAATGTTTGTAGATGTAGCGTCATCGAGCAGGCTGTTTTGTCTTGGATAATGTCAAACTTCTTGAGTGTTGTTGGAGCTGCACTCATCCAGGTAACTGGGGAATATTCTATCACACTCCTGACTTGTGTCTTGTAGATGATGGACAGGCTTTGGGGAGTCAATGCTGAATTACACACTGCAAGATTCCTAGCTTTTGACCTGATCTTGTAGCCACAGTACTTATTTGGCTAGTCCACTTCAGTTTATGATCAGTGGTAAACCCAGGATGCTGATAATGACAGATTCAGTGATGGTAATGCTGTTGAATGGGACAATCATTGGATTTTCTCGTCATTGCCTGGCACTTGTGTTGCATGCACATTACTCGCCACATGTCATTCCTAAACATAGAAAATGTCCAGGTCTTGCTTCATTTGGACACGCACAGTTTCACTATGAGGAGTTGTGAACGATGCTGAACATTGTGCAATCATTGTTGAACATCCCAATTTCTGAACTTACGATGGAGGGAAAGTCATTGGTGAAGCAGCTGCACAAGGTTAGGCTGAGGACACTACCTTGAGGGGCTCCTGCAGAGACATCCTGGAACTGACTGATCTCGAACAACCAAAATCCTCTTGGTTTGAGCTAGATCTAGCTCCAACCAGTGGAAAATTGGCCCTAATTTCTACAGACTTTAGTTTTGCAATGTCACAGGTGCAGCACCAAGCCTACCTAAAGATGAGGTGTCAAGCATTGAACACTCTACTTACCTTGAACTGTTCTGCCCATTTGTAGTTTCACAGTTACCTATGAAAACAAAATGAATGTTGGTCACTGCAGGGATCCCACATTTTCACAGTGTTTCTGACTGTTTCTCATAATCTCTCCCCTCCTTTAAATTTGCCTCTTTAACTGAACTGTTTAGTTACTTGTTCTAACAATTCATTCTTTGGCTCAGTGTCAATTTTTGTCCAAATACGTTCTTGTGGAGCAGTTTGGGACGTTTAATGATGATAAAGGGTTCTATATGTTCTAGAGTCACACAACATGGCAACAGACTCTTCGGTCCAACTAGTCCACACCAACCATGTTCTCATACTAAACTGGTCCCACCTGCCTGCGCTTGGCCCATATCCCTCCAAACCTTTCCTATTCATGTACTTATCTAAATGTCTTTTAAACTTTCTAACTGTACCGGCATTTACCACTTCTTCTGGAAGTTCATTCCACACACTAACCACTCTCTGTGTAAAAAAGTTGCCCCTTCGATCCCTTTTATATCTTTCTCCTCTAACCTTAAGCCTATGCCCTCTTTGAACTCCCCCACCCTGGGAAAAAGAACTTGACTATTCACCTTATCCATGGCTTTCATGATTTTATAAACTTAAATAAGGTTACCCCTCAACCTCCTACGCTCCAGTGGTAAAAGTCCCAGCCTATTTTTATAACTCAAACTCTCCAATCCCAGCAATATCCTGGTAAATTTTTTTTGAACCCTCTCCAGCTTAATAATATCCTTCCTTTAACAGGATGACCAGAACTGCACACAGTACTCCAGAATAGGCCTCACCAACATCCTGCATAACGTCCCAACTCTGATACTCAAAGGTCTGAGCAATGAAGGCAAGCATGCTAAATGCCTTCTTAACCATCCTGTCTACCTGTGATGCAAATTTTAAAGAACTATGTACCTAAGCCCCCAAGTCTCTCTGTTCTACAACACTACGCAGTTGCTGTACTGCTTAGATACTGCCTCTTTGTACAGAAAACATGACAAGCTACCACTAGCAGTCAGCAATTCCTTCCTGAGCTATTTTTGATTTCAAGCTTCGCAGCATGTTCACTAAGACATTTTAAAAATTCATTCTGGGGATGTGATGGTCATTGGCATGGCTGACATTTAATTGCCCATCCCCAAACCAGCCTTGAACAGGTAGCGGTGGCTAGTTAAGAGTTAACCATCTTACTGGGGGATGGGGTCTGAAGTTGCATGTAGATCAGTAGTCTTCCTCCCCCTATTGGGTATCAGTATTCTACACCAATCCAGTAGTTACAAGATCAGAATCGGTGAAACTAGCATTCTATCCCAAAATCAATTAATTAATTTAACTTAAACTCCATCAGGTGTCATGGTGAGATTTGAACTCATGCCTCTGGAGCATCGTTTCCAACCTATAAATTACTAGTCCAGTGACATTATCACTACGCGGCAATATCTAAGTGATTTAACTTGGTTTCTTCACAGTAATGGGTGCCTACTGTAGTTCATGGGATGTAGGTGTCACTGGCTAGGCCAGTGGTTAAACAATCACTAGACTGGCTTTATTTTTTAAAACTTCAAATTCTTCATCAGAAAATTCATCCCATGATGGGATTTGATCCCATGTCCTCAGAGCATTGGCCTGGGGTTTTGGCTTACTAATCTAGTAATATCACCACCACACTACTCCTCCCACTAAGAGGTGGGGTCTGATGAGCATTCAAAAAAACCTAGAGGAATGCTGGGATGTATTTATGACATCGGAAGCAAAACGTTTGGCTAGCTGTGGGAAGGCTGTGTAGAGCGTAGGTCCAGGCTAATAGGCCTGTTGTTGTGGCCTTATATAAGTAAAGGCCATTTAATCAAACCCATTTCTGGCTGTCTTGTCCTTGTATGAACACGTTTACTCAAACACCTACCACCTTCAAACAGTTGATAGAACTGACTTTGGCTCATTTTGTAACAGTGGGTCTTGCTCAACAAAAATAAATCAAGTCTCAAATCTTTACTGTTAGAGAAGGAAATATCTGCTTTGTTGGTACTTCAGTCTTTTTCCAATACACTTTCCATCCACCATGCAGAACGGTGGAAAAGGATTTTTCAGCAAGTCTTAAATTCATCCTATACTCAGTTGGCCAAGTAGGAAAATAGATGCCATTCTTTTGCTAAATACGAAGTCCATTTAAAGGAAGTAATATTGCAAATGTTTGCCTCCTTCCTAACTTAGTCACCCAAATGGCTCTTTTTATAGTTATTACAATGAAATAAAACCTTTATTGGAAAGTTATCAAATTAAAACGTCATTTCAGGGTGATCTTACCCCCGTGACCACTGGTCGTGTGTACAGCCTCTTTCTCTTTATGTCAGCTCAAGGTACCTAATTAATCAACACTTTGCATCAGTATATCCTCAATTTTAATCCTACAATCAATAATAGGCAAATACTTATTACCTTTGTTTTTCAATTCTACTTGAATTTCGTTTCTTTGTTCCTGCAGTACTATGGTATCGCCACCTCCAGCCTGACAAAGGTCCGTGCCCCTCCTGTTTACCACCATAGCATATCGTGGGTAACCAGCCAACAGCAAACATTTAGCACAGAAGTAATGACCCTGGGAGCAGAGTGAACAGAACAAAACATTGAGCTAAGGATAACACTGACTAAAAGGGAAAACCAGCCTCAAAACTAATAATTCACAGTGTGTAGAGCTACATTGACAAACAGAGGCCATTTCGTCCACTGAATCCATGCTGGCTCTGTGGAGCCATCCAGTCAATTCCCATCCCTCCTCTACTATCCCTGTAGTACTGCAACTGCATTTCCCTCAATTTCCCATCCAATTTCCTTTAGAAATCTTTCATCCCCTTCACTTAGACCAGCCTTTTGGCAAAGTATTCTAGGTCATGTGTAAAAAGCATTCTTCCTCACATTCCCCCGCACATTTTGCCCAAAACCGTACATCTGTGTCCCCCAGTGCATGTTTTTTTTAAATTCATTCACAGGATGTGACATCGTTGGCTAGGCCAACATTTATTGCCCATCCCTCATTGCCCAGACAGCAAAAAAAAAGTCAACTGTATTGCAGTGAGTCTGGAGTCACTTGTAGGCCAGACCAGATAAGGACAGCAGATTTCCTTCTCCATTGGATATTAGTGAACCAGGTGAGTTTTTCTGATAATCGACAACAGTGTCATGACCATCTTTAGACTCCTAATTCCAGATTTTTATTGAATTTAAATTCTATTATCTGCCATGGCAGGATTTGAATTCAGGTTCCTAAAATATTACTGGGTCTTTCAATTGTCAGTCTAGCAATAATCCAACTAGGTCATTGCCTCCCCGAATTAGCTAATGGGATCAGTTTTTCCTTGTCTACTTTCTTAAAACCTTTTACACCTCGTATCAAATCTTCCCTCATTTACCTCTGTTTCAAGGAGAACGCCACTGCCAGCCTTTCCAACCTAAACTCGCAACCAAACCTTTATGACAAAAGAAATTACGTCTACATATGGATTTAGCTGAAACAGAATATAATCAGGACTCTGCTTTACAATGACAGGAAAAAGCCACACTCTATATTTATTGTACGGGTCTCCGCTGTTATCTGCGGGACAATGACAATGACCTTAAACTATCCAACAAGAAGTGAGAGCCCAGAAAGTTCAGCCGTGCCAAGAGGCAAAATGTATGTTCCAGCTGGTGCAAAACTGCATCTATAAATAATGCATAATTTTCTGTAACAAGTAGTAGGAGGCCTGTGATACATGAACAAGAGGAGTTGAACACACAAGCTTTTCAGAGTGGTGTGAGGATTTAATATAGATCCCTGCTAAGTGATGATTTGTGCCTGATTTGTTTTTTTTTCTTCATTATAACTTGTCATTTTATTTTAATCAGTGCAAAACAGAAGGGTTCCAAAGGGCTGCCTACTCTTCCTCATCACTGTGTCCTTTTCTTGGGAGCAAGGTCAAAGCCCAGGAGCATTAAAGAAACATAGGAATAAACAGGTTGGCACAAGACTGACATAGGTTTAAAATAAGGTTGCCCTTTGGAAAACAAGCAATCGACTTGTACCTTAAAATAATCTGGCTTTAGTACTGTTGCTCTAATACTGTCCAGTATCGCCATTCTGAAAGAAGAGAAAAAACATCATCCAATGTAACCAAACCAAACACTTCACCAGAAAACCAATTCTCACTGAAAGAGTCACACAAATCATTCTATGAAACTGTGAACCTGCTCCTAACATCATGCACCTTCTAAAAAGATAAAATGTAAGTGCGTTCCTTTCTACCTGTTATTAACAAAAGACAGACTTTCATTCATATTAGTGCCTGTCACTATCAAAGATGTCTCTTAGCACTCTACAGCCAAAAAAGTGCTTTCAACGTGTAGTCACTGTTGTCGTGGAGGAAACATAGCGCTTTGATTTGCACACAGCAAGCTCTGAGAATCAGTAACTGATTATTAGATAACCCACCTTTCAACATGTGGAGGTGTAACAGGTCATCAGGCAGAGCGCTCATGCCCTTCATCAATAAAAAGGTCTTCACGTCTATCTAAGCAGGCAGACTGGGCCTAGGCTCAAGATCTTATCTAAAAGACTGCACCTCAGCCATGTGAATAATGTGGTCCGGTCAGTGCAGTTGACTGACCATGACCACAGCCTTGATGCTGGGGCATTATGGGCCCAAAACAGGATATAGATATTGCAATGTCTATCCTGCCATTGCCCCTTGGCAGGATTTTGCAAAGGCGTCACTGGGGATATTTCTCCAGGGATAAGAGATGTCTGCTGTGCAGGGCGAATGTGAGGAAGAACTCTGCAAGTCTGCCTGCATTACATCAATAGTATTATCCTCTTAGTTACCTCTTCAAAAAAAAACTGACCCTAAAACATCTAGATAATTCCTGAAATTATCCATGGCCAGAACTGATTGATTACACTGAAGGTTGAGAGTTTGAGCCCCTGTCTGGAGATTTAAACATCATTCAGGCTTTCACTTGTACTGTGTTTGTGCAGCCTGTCAATGTTAGGAAAACAGACATCTTGTCTGCAGCACATCACCTAACAGCTCCCTCTGCTCTTTGTCCAGTTGTAGTTCCTTTGGGTTTTCTGTTATGTTCATATTGGCAATGGCCAACAAAGGATTCAAGCAATTTCCACAAGTCAACATGCCACTTAAAATCCTGTATGGTCAGCACAGCACCCAAAATATTGCAGTGCCAAAGACAAAGCCCCTTCCACCAACATGGAATGTGATCGTGACCATTTTGTCAAAACGCATTGTCATGGCCTGAAGTAAAAATGGTACATTTCTGGCACGGTAAGTGTCCATTAGCGGGTCTCACCTGTGATCATTCAGCTGCAGGTAACAACAGGCTCTCCGACAGTACAAGTGATGATTATAAGGGCTGGAAAAGGAGAGGTAAATTAAGCGTTCCAATTACTGATACATTAACAGTGCAACATCCATTATTTACCAGAACAAAGACCAACACCCACATCCTAGTAAATCATGGAAACCAGCAGATAGTCAAGTCCTCAAATTATTACATCTCATGTGCAGTACAGCAATATCAGAGTAAGGAATATGCACATAACGCATATATCAAAGCCCCTGTGCAAATAAGGGGTGAAAAAAATTCTGCTGTAAATTCAACATCATAGCCACCAAGTGAGTTCTGAGCAGTTTGGCAAACACACTATGTGTGGAAGCTGCAAAGAAAGGCAAAACAGCTTAATTTTGTCACAAGTCAACGTCCCTTGTGAATGCTGGGGCAAAAGATCACACACTGGCTGATTACCGAAGTGCTTATAATGGATTTGTGACACAAATTAGGAGAGCAAGGGAGAAAAATGAATCAGCCAGGGATTACATAGCCTACAACCCATTTTAAAGTGCACGTGCACAGGCACAGTGCAGTGCGCTGAACAATCTCGGAGGGTGTACAATGTCTACATCCAGATGTTTTTTTGTTATATAATTTGTTCACAGGATGTGGGCGCGATGCCTAGTCCAGCATTTATTGCCCATTCCCAATTATCTGGAGGCAGTTAAGTGTCAACAACATAGTTGTGGGTCAGGAGTTCATGTGTAGGTCAGATCAAGTAAGGATGGCAGATTTCCTTCCCTAAAGGACATTAGTAAACCAGATGGACTTGTATGGCAATCGACATTGGTTATATGGCCACCTATAGGCCAGTTCTTTGTTCCAGATTTTTATTTAGGCAGAAATCTGAATACGATGGTGGGATTCAATCCCAGGTCCCCACAACATTGACCTCGGGTTCTGGGATTACTAATCCAGTGATATCGTCCCCAAAGAAATAAAGAAATGTAATTTGCGTTACTACCAGTGCCAGAAATCAGCAATGTTGGGAAATGAATTGGGAAACAGGGGAGAAACACTAACGGTGTCAGTGGTGAACCATACCTTGTTTCAAGTGCCTGGCTGTATGTGGCAATAGCTGCTCTAAATTCGCTAAGATTCACTTCATCTTCGCCTTTCCTCTGGAGATGCTCAATCTTCTAATAACAAAGCAGACAAGAGAATATAATGAGAGATAGTAGGAACTGCAGATGCTGGAGAATCCGAGACAACAAGGTGCAGGGCTGGATGAACACAGCAGGCCAAGCAGCATCATAGCAGCAGAGAGGCTGACGTTTCGGGCCTAGACCCTT